CTAAAATATCTAAAACATGTCATTTACAATGTCAAGTATATATAATAAAAAACTACTACACATGCAGAGAAATAGGAAAATAGGACCCATATTGGGGGAGAAAAAAGCCATCAATAGAAACTGAGCCTGAGAGGGCCCAAATGTTGGGTTTAGCAGGTAGATTATAAAGCAGCCTTTCTTTGTTATGGGAAAAAAGGAAAGTTGCTCAAAGGATTAAAGGGAAATATTCTTTTAGTGAGTGAGCAGACAGAAAGTCTCAGCAGAGAAATGGAAGCTATATAAAAGAACTAAGTGTAAATTCTAGAACTGATAAAATACAATAACTGAAAAGAAAATTCACTGGATTGACTCAACACATACTGGAAGACAGATCACAGGGGGGAAAAAGAAGAGTTGGTGAAGCTGAATACATATTGACATAAATTTCCAATCTGAAGAATAGGAAAGAGATGGATTTTTAAAATATTAACAGAGAATCAGGGATCTTTGGGGTATAGTAAGATACCTGACCTAACATACATGTAATAGAAGTCTGAAGAGAAGAAAAGAAAAAAAAAAAGCAGAAAAAAATATTGTAAGGAAAAAGCACTTCTAATAATAGGAAAACACTGACTTAAAAATCCAGAAACTCACTGACCCCCACATAGAATAAACACCAAGAAAACCACCTTCATCAGTTTTATAATCAACCTGCTGAAGATGAAAGATACAGAAAAGAATCTTAAAAGCAGCCAGAGGAAAAAATAAGAATGATGACTGACTTATCATCAGGAACAATATAAGCCAAAAATCAATGGAATGACATTTTTAAAACTCTAGAATAAAAAGTAGTAACCTAGATTTCTATATACAGTAAAAAAAAATATATATATATACTTTGAAAAGCAAGGTGACTCCAAGTTTGAGCCAAGATGGAGTCAGAGGGACTGGATTTACCCTCCAGCCTGAAATAATATGTGCTTCACACACATATGTATTCACACACATATGTGAACAGTTTTCAAGATATTGAACACTGGGCAATGAAAGATGAAAAAAATGCAGAAAACCCTACAACTGTTCCAGCTTTCTGCCTAGGGACTGCTTTCAAGCTTCAGTGCGGGGAGGGAGAACCCATGTCGAATTCAGCAGACTCCTTGAGTTGAGGAGACAAAGTTTAAAGTGTGGCAAGGGCAAGGGAGCTAAAATTACAGCACAGAGTAATAGAGAGGAGAAAGCTGCATGAAGAGAGAGCTCTGGAGATATGCATAGGGTCCCCATAGAGTCCTAAGCTGAGGATGGATCATTGCATGCCTATGAGAAAACTGCTCAAGCCTGAGGAAAGAACCACCTGAAAGCATTAGAGGAACAGTTCTCAGAGCTCACGCAGAACCAGGAATAGTCCTTATTACCACCTGCTACGGTGGAAAACATAATTCATGGAACAATAGGTTGAGCAACCAGAAGGGTTTTGCTACAACAGTGAGATAAAGTTAGTTATAATGTAAATATTGCTCTGGTTTCATCAAACAAAGCTTAAAGGCAAGATCAAACTCTTACCAAGTAATTTAATAGCATCCCCAAACAAAGCACAATAATATTTAAAGGTATACAAAAGTATCCAGCACCTAACACAATAAAGGTAAAATTCACAATATCTGGCAACCAATTAAAAATTACATTAAAAATGAAAGACACAGAAAAGAATCTTGAAAGCAGCCAGAGCTTTTAAAATTATCAAGCATACAAAGAAGAAAATAAAACCCATAATAAAGAAAAAAATCAATCATAACTAACCTAGAATTTATGAAGATGATAGAATTAATAAACAAGAATATTAAGACAGATATTTTTACTGCTTCCATATGATTGATAAAATTGAAGAAATATTGAGCAAGTTGAGACATGGAAGATACTTTTTCAAAAAGTAAAACTTCTAAATATGAAAACTCTAATATGAGATGAAAAACACAAATGGAAGAGATTAAAAGCAGAACAGAAATTGCAGAAGAAAAGATTAGTGAACTTGAAGACAGAAATAGAAATTACCCAAAATGAAACACAGAGGAAAAAAAACTAGGTAAAAAATTAACAGAGGAAAAAAACTAGGTAAAAAATTAACAGAGTACCAGTGACCTTGGGAAAACTTCAAATGGCCTAGCACACATGAAACTGGAGTCTCCCAAGGGGAGAAGGCAGGAAGGACAGGAAAAAAAAAAAAAAAGTAATGACTGAAACTTTACCAAATTTAGTAAAAACTATAATCCCCCAGTTTCCAAAAGTTCAATGAACATCAAGAAACAGGCAGTAAACTACACAAAGGCCATAAGCAAATGGCTTAATGCCAGTGATGAGAGCTCCACTCTGGCAGCAGCAGTAGGTAACTGATTCCAGTAGCAGTAGGTGACTCTGATTTATTTCTAGATTTTTCCCCTAAGTTTTCAGAACCCCATCACTGCACTCCCTCAGAGGTAAACTGTCCAGAACCTTCTCTCCCTTCAAGTCTCTGTCCCAGCTCTACAGGGGATCTCTCCTCTGTGGTCTTGAGGCATCAGCACCAACACCAGACAGTGCCTCTTCTTCAGTGGTCTGTACCCAAGCTCCCAGGGCCCTTCCTTCTTCAGGCTTCTAATTGCTGATAAACCCAACCCCTTCCCTGTGCAGCCCTAGCCCAAGGGATGGGGGTTGCTTTCTCATTATTACTACCTCCGTGGTATCACAGTGTTTCCTTTTTGCCTGTTTAACCAATTCCTTATGTTAAATACTGTTTAAACAACAAAGAAGGATGATTGCACCTTTTTTGGGCAAAAGTATAAATATTTTTAAAAATCATTTTATAGAATTTCAAAGATGTACAGAGGAGTGCACATATAAGCTAAGTAGCCAGAGTTGAAACACGTTGGTTCTTGAGCTGTTCTCTCAGTTTCCAATCTACCCCTTTATTCCCATCTTTGTGATCTGGGGCTTTGAAAGGTGGGTGACCAATAGATTCTGTCCAAAAAGTGTGCTACAGGGACACAGGAAGCTAGAGGGGAAACAAGGGACTTGCTTTTTTTCTGTTTTATTTCCTGTTTCTATCAACATCACCCTAATAATAGTTCTTCACTCTATAAGTAGTGATTGATTGCCTGTAGGTCCCAGTGACCCCGCAATCCCAGTAGCAGCCTCCTTGTTCCCTCTCAGAAATTCCAGTGCCAGCTGCCTGGGCTGCTCTCCTCTGAGGTCTGAGTCCCAGCTCCATGGATTTGCTGAACTATTTCTTCCGCTGAATTCTTTTCTGAATTCCTGAGGCAACAGCACCAGTTAGGCTGTGTCCCCTTCTCCGAGGTTTACCAGTTGTGGCGTCTTTCCTCCAAACTTCTCATCCCAGTGGCCTAACTCCTCAGATGTCGGGATACAAACTCTCCCTCAAGCTTTTAAATTCCATTAATCCCAAGTCTTCTCCTGGTCTCCACATCCCAGAGGGAGGTAACTACTTCCTGCAAGTACTACCTTGGTGATATTTTCCTTTGGAATTTTATAGCATAAAGACATACTTATAAATGATACCAATTCTTTTCATGTCCGATATGCTATATTACACACAGGTAATTTTAACTTTTCCATGCCAATTTCTTTTGTCTTATACCTACATTTTCAGAGATTTTCCATAAGGGCTAAGTTATAAATGTGCATCAGGGCTTATGAAATGGGAAGGATCTACAATAATTATTATTCCCATGTTTGCCTCACTTTGTCCAAGGGACGACGTTACGGAGAGACTGAGAAATGGAAGACAAGAGATTCTCATATCCCTCATGATTTGGGGAGAGTCAGCCTGTAGGAAGCTAAGCCCCCTCATCTATAAAATACAACTCACAGATTATTGTAGATCTCTAACAAAGCGTTTATGTGGAAGCACTTTGTAATCACAAATGGTGTGTAAGTTTGTTTTTACTAGATGGTAAAAGAAAAGATGATGAAATAAGAGAGGTGAAAAGAAGAGAAACAACTGAAGAAAGTATTCTAGAGAAGTTTCTACCCACTCAGAACTCCACTGGGAATCAGTTAAAAAAAAAAAAAAAAAGGAAGAGCGTGGGCCTCTGTTTTTCCCATTCCATGTAACCCTGATCCCCACTCTGCACGCCAAAGGTCCCTTTTGCCAACGAGACAGAAGCCATTTATTAATGTACGGCAAATACTGTTTATTGCAGACTTTCCAGCTGACTCATGTGAAAAAGGCACTATGAAAATTAATGAATCTAGATAATCTCTCTAAATGGATTTATGTTAAAATATACAACATTCTTACATAACATCTGTTTTATATATGTGAAATAATATAACATTTAATGACAAAAATCATGTTTTCAAAAATAACATTTGTTGAAGGTTAAGTCTCTTTCTTTTCTCTACCTAGAATCTTTCACAGGATTAAAATATGTGTATATTATTTCTTATTACCGGAAAAAAACTTGACACAGATAAACTCATAAAATGGCCCCAATTTGCTCTTAACTACTTATATCAATATTCAGAACTGAGGCCTTCATTAAGCAGAATACTGTAACACACACCAATGCAGGCTATTTCCGGTGACAGAGTTTGAATGTATATGACCTCTTTTACACTTGTGCTTTCTCGTATATAAGAACACAGTATAGATAATAAGAAGAATATAAACCGAATCAAAATACAAGCTATACAAGGAATTGGGATCAACAGAGCCACGACAGATAAAATGTCTCGGGAATGCTCCAAAGGTTTCTATTTGTATGTCCAAGGCCTTGTTGTATTTTACAGTTCATTCAATGTTTTAATCTTTTGTAAAAACTGTTGGCATTAAGAACTTTAAATAAATCTAAACATTCTATTATGGAGTATATTGAAGAAGAGACCTAAGTAAGCAGAGGCTAGCCTTTATAAAGGAAGCTACACCTTGGATGATACATACCATAGTCACAGGCAAAACTGAAACTGTTTAGATTTTGAATCATGGGCAATATCTCTGTTTTGTTGCAATAAATAAACTCACCACTGTCAAAAAAAAAAAAGTCTGCTTAGGCATTGAGATGGGGATGAAATACTTAATCCAATAAAGGGAACCTCACCTTGGTAAAGTAGGCAAAATATTCCCAAGGTGAGAAATTCTGTTTAAAATGTTTTCATTTTAATAAAAATAACGGGCCCAGGAGCAAGTCGTCTGCTTACTTATGTTTGCGTTGTTTCTTTATGGCGATAAATTCTGTACACCAAGAAATGAGAATCTGACATTCCCTTCATGTCTTCTTAAAACAAAGCACGTTGGAATAATGCCAAGAATAATGGAGTTTAAAAACTAATTAGTGACTGCTTCCCTCATCAAAAGATTCCACTCCTGAATCGCTAGCAGCAGCACTGATTTTTTCCTGTCGTCTTCGCATGATTTCTTGCAACTCAGAGCTGCCGTTGTTATCCTGAAAAACAAACATGGTTCGGACGAGACGGTTACTGGTTTGTGAGGCTGCAAATCATGTCATGAAATGGCTTAGGCTAAAAGTTCTTTGTGTTTTTCTTCTCATGTCTCTAAGGGGAAAACTGAAGGCCGCCCTTCATATAAGTGATGATGCTGGACTTCACTAACATCACATTTTCACTTATACTGTCTTAAGGCAATTCATTCACCATGCCTTTCACTTGAACCTGTTAAAGATAAATCAGTAATGCATGTGGAATGCTCTAGATTCCCTGGGGGAAAGAAGAGATTGTACAAGAAGCACAAAAAGATGGTAAATTATCAAAGAATGCTCTTTAGGTCAAGTAAGATACTCATCTATCTACCTTAGGGGATTCTAAATCAGGCCCAAAGCCCCTTCTTCAGAAGACACCAAGTTTCCTCATACCAAAGGGTTCTGACCTTCTGACATCTTGTTGGCTTTTGTCCTTTCCAAACCTGGCCTACAGTCCCTATGCACCCTCCTTATTCCTCTCTCATCTACAGAAATCTCTGGCAACACAGGTGAGTAATATGAACATGAACTAGATGCAAGAGAAGGGCATGATGGGAAGGTGCCTGGGGAAGACGAAGAACCTCAGGTAGGACCTCTGCCTTAATTCACATCCAGAGGAACAGGAGCTAGAGGCCAGGAGCACATGGGAAGTCAGGGGAAATGACAGTGATAGGGAGTCTGGACTGAAGGAATTCAGAAAGGTTAGGAATATGGAACTTTCTATCATAACCCTTAAGGAGGAATTTATACATTCCCAACAAAATTAGAAGGTATAATGGCAACAAAACTGCCTCAGAAAAGATATAATCCCGACTCACATTCAATATACAAAAAGTCTAATACAGAATCAACCAAGATGAATGTCGTAGGAAAAATTTCCAAGGGAAATATAATTTCTCCTGAGTGAGAATGGTTACAGGGTTGTATGCACGAAGCTATTTTACTGAGTTATTTAACTGTTGAATTTATACAATAAACCTGCTAGAGATAATTACGTATTGATTTCACGCCAAAGCCTATACCCTTTCATTGGAGTCTAAGTTTAATTTTCATGAAAGCTATGGAGAGCTGTGAGATGTAACAGTTAGAAGCTACTACCCTTACACAGCCCACATTAAGTAGAGTAGGATATTGAAACCTTAAGTATAGCCAATCTAGAAAACATTTACTCTTTTTCTTTCATAGAAACAGCTATAACTAAAGAATTACTCTTCATGGCCCGCTGTTTTCTATGATCCCTATCTAATATTTTCCCTCTGATTATTTATATGTATAAGCAGGCCTAAGGCACACAGCCACAGTTTTAAGACTTTATAACCTCTAACCTGCTAGAGTCTCCAAACTAAATATTAAGGACAGGTAAAAGAGTTCTGGCCTCTTAAGTCATTTACTCACACGAAGTAAATGAGTAAATAAAATTCCTACAGAGGTAGTGCACGTAAAATGAGAACATTAGGCTTTTCATTAGATATCCAAAAGTATATGAAGCTCAAGCTTCATGTTATAGGAGCACTTATAACAAATTACTCTCCCTGAAAATGCTCGCTAAGGGTCTCCAGTGACAGATTACTAAAGCTGAATCAAGTTGAATTCAGCTCTGCATGAAAGGCAAAGAAAGCGACCTATATGGACATAAATAATGTTTCCAGAGCTTTCAAATTGCAGTCCATACTCTTGGCTAATGTAGAAAAACACCACCTTAGGTTGAGAAGTCGTACCTCTAATGCAGCTTTCTGTACAGTAATTTGGCTAAAGACTCTGGCCCCTTCAGGGCAGACGGTTCTCAGTTCATCTTTATTGAGAGAGAAAAGTTGTGCACCATTTAATACTCCAAGACTATTGACAGTTCTGAAAAAACAAAAGGAGGAAAAGAGGGAAATAGAGCATTAAAAATACTGTCTGGATTTGTGGTTGCCAAGGAGGAGGGATGAACTGGGAGTTTGGGGTTAGCAGATGCAAACTATTATATAGAGGACGGATAAACAAGGCCTACTATATAACACAGGGAACTACAGACAATATCCTGGGCTGAACCATAATGGAAAAGAATATTAAAAAGAATGCACACAGGTGTATATAAAGTGAGCTACTTTGCTGTACAGCAGAAATTAGCACAACATTGTAAATCAACTATACTTCAATAAAAACTAATTAAAAATAGGGCTTCCCTGGTGGCGCAGTGGTTGAGACTCCACCTGCCGATGCAGGGGACACGGGTTCGTGCCCCGGTCCGGGAAGATCCCACATGCCGCGGAGCGGCTGGGCCCGTGAGCCATGGCCGCTGAGCCTGCGCGTCCGGAGCCTGTGCTCCGCAACGGGAGAGGCCACAACAGTGAGGGGCCCGCGTACCGGAAAAAAAAAGAAAAAATTAAAATAAACAAACAAATAAATAAATAAAATACTGTCTGGATAAAACAAAAGAAAGATTTCTGGTCCCGCTACAACCTCTCTTCTCTAGGTGTTCCATACACCGGAACTCATAAACGGTACTAGAATGCTTAGGGCAATGACAGGGGACGGTCATGATAACGACCCTGAGGCTATATAAGATAATTGATCATGAAGTGTCAAAAAAGAGTCAACTGGGTTTATTATCTTTACTGTGCATTACCAATTTCTTGAAATTTGGTGTTTCGTAGAAGGAATGGATAACTTTCTAGTAGCCGGGCAACTGACTAACCAGTGTACCTCATGTTTTCAGTCACACTGGGTGAGTTCATAATGTGTCAAGTGCTCTTGAATATGTATTAGTCAAATAGTTCAAATACATATATTCAAATATGTTTACCAAATACACAAGAAAATGTTTACAAGTTTTTAATTATAGACAAATAGAAACTTCACTGTGGCTTTCCTAAAGGAAAGCTCTATTAGATTATAACCTACAATAAGTAATGTCACCTATTTTTCATTTGCCTGGGATCTCTATGCTGCAGCGGGAGAAAAGGTTCTGCTTTATGTCCTCTGCGGTCTGTGGAGTCTAGGTAAGACTACAGACCTATCCTGTGTGACCCTCTGAGGCAGAAAGACAGCCACCAGCCTCAAAGCTGCCAAGAGACTGCTTGAGGGACCAATGATGAACAGACACCACCATCTAGAAAATGGGGTGCCATCAAATGATAGTTATTTCTCCTTCCTCCAATTTTTTTTTTTTTTAGCTAAAAATGGCTAGAGTTATTTCCTGAGCATGGAAACAGATGCAGTTCGGGTTCTCACATTTTCTAAGAGTCACTTGTGACATCTTAGTGATCAAATTGAAAACACTGCATGTTATACACACAGAACTGTAAAGTATCCCCAGAGAGACTTACACAGGGTTGAACCCCTTTGACTGCAACCATGTCTTCACATCCTCTGGGGTGGAGTCATAAGTGATATTGACAACTGGCACATTCTGCCGTGGCACGTGGAACTTCTTCTGGGCAGCGCTCCGACCAATGGTCAGTCTGTGGATGAGTTCATCCTGCACTTCCTCCATCTGAGATTTCCTTCCTAGATACCAACACAGAGGAGGTTAGTTTTGAAAGCCCTAACAGCTGTTGCTCTTCTAGAACCCCAGTGCCAAGAATCCTTTGACCCCAACAGGACTTACGATCTAGTATTCCTACCATCTTTCCTTTCATCCTCACCAAGTATAAACTCTGTGATCAATTATTAAAATCACTCCCTGTCTCTTCTTTCTTCATTGTGTTCATCTGGCAAGCCCCCCCACCCTTGTTAAATCTCACTTTCTGCTTATTCTGTGCTGCACCTGCACGCCAAATCGAACACAACAATGCTGAGTGAGCTCATGTTAAATTCATGATCATGAACCTCCCCTGGGCTGTTAATGGTCTGTGACATTCATACTACATTTCCTGAGGCCAGTGGCTTTCAACTGGGGGAAAGTTTAACCACAGGGTACATCTGGCAATGGCTAGAGATACTTTGGGATGTCACAAACAGGGGGCAAGGGGCAAGGAAGCTACAGTCATGCAGTGGGTAGAGGCCCGGGATGCACAAAACATTCTGCAATGCACACAGGTCACGTTGCTACATCAGAGAATTATCTAGCCCCAAACGTCCACAGGGGCTCAGGTTGAGAAACCCTGCCTGGGACCGTATAACTGTCCATGGTCAGACAAGTATTTCCTATCTTCTTCCTTCTGCAAACCTCCAGCCCCCAGTCCTCAGTCCTCTCCCTGAACTGATGATTTCACTGCAGAATTTCTGAGTAAATAAAGAAGTTAAAAGAAAACCTCCCGAAGTGCCCCCAGCAGCTCTCCTTACCACTAGCACTTTCCCCGTACACTCTGCCAGCCTTCCTTCTACTACATTATAGATGAACTGTTTCCACTTTCCTCAGGCCAGCCCCTCTACATGTGCACTAGGCTCCGTGCCCTCTGTCTGTTTGAATACTTTGACAGTAATTTCCCCCCTGCTTCTCCCATGTTATCAATTTTCCTCTTTTACTGAATCATTTCATCCGCTTACAAGCATGCTATTATTTTATTTCTCTCATGTTTAAATAAGCCCTTTCTTAACCCCACATCCCCTGCCAGCTACTGCCCATTTCTCTGCTCCCCTTTTAGCAAAACTCCATGAGAAGCTGTCTATATCAGCTGACTCCAATTCCCATTCTCCAATTTCCTCTTGAATTCACTGCGATCAGGCTTTTGGCCCCATCCCTCCATGCCATTTTGCTAAACTCCAATGGTTGATTCCCAGTCGTTTCCTCATTTAATCTATCAGCAACATTTGAAGAAGGCGCTCCCTCCTTGAAACACTTTCTTCTTATGGCCTTCAGGACACCACACTCTCTGATTTTCCTCCTGTCTTACTGGTCTCTCCTCAGCATCCTTTTCTCAGATGCTCATCTCATCTCCCCAACTCTCCAGGACACAGTCCTTGGACCTCTTCTGTGTCTGCACTCACTCCATCAATGACTGTTGTGCCTGGTCTCCTGGTTTTAAATGCCATTTAAAAGCTGATGACTACCCAAATTACTTCTCTAGTCCAGACTGGTCCTCAGAACTCTAGACCAATATACATCAACTGCCTATTTGATATATTCATTGGATGTCTATTAGCTATCTCAAACATAACATGTTCAAATCTGAATTACTCATCTTCTTCCTGAAGCTTACTTTTATGCTAGACTTCCCAACTTGGTAATTCTATTTTTCCAGTTCCCCCAACAAAATACCATGTAGGTATGCCTGACTCCCCTTTGCCCTCGATTATATCCAATCCATCGGCAAATCCTGTTAGTCCTACCATTAGAATACACCACACAGCCCAATCACTTCACTCCATTTTTTTCTATTAGCAGCCTGGTCTGAGCCACCAGCCTATTTACAGGTCTCTCTGCTTCTACTCTCCATGACCCCACTCTTCACTCTTCATCCTTTTCTCAATATAACAAAGTGATGCATTTAAAATGTGAGTCAGATACACACACACACACACACACACACACACACAGAGATACATTATTTGTATATCACCTTCAAGAATTAAGTGCAAAGAACTGATATAGTAATCCAATTAACTAACTTGGCAAGTGACAGTGACCTGGTCACTAAGGAAGCTTTTGTGACCATTGTTCTGATTGTTTTTTTCAGGGAAAGTATTTTTAGAAAGTGTTTGGTGCCCCTGGGAAATAAATGAAAGTGTGAAATAATCAAATACTGTTATTTCAGCCTAATTTTTTTTAATGCCTCAAGTACTCAGGAAACCTTTTGAAAAAGAAAGAAGTCAAAAGAAAGAGAAATAAGAGAGGGGAAGGGAGGAAAGGAGGGAGGATGAGGGGGCTAAAGAGAGTAAGAGGGAATATTATTGATTGTTACATTTAAGTAATACAGGACATGCATTTCATTAGTTAACTCTTTTAAATCAGTACAATGTAGTCACACTGCCATACAACATAGGAGTACATCTCAAAGAAATACAAGAGAAAAAGTATAACCACGCTAAAATAGTTATCTCCTTATCTGTTGACTTAGCCACTGTGGGATCATTTCCAGTCCACAGCATAACCTCTTTCCAGGGAATATAAAAACCTCTTCTAATGTGTTCCTGGTTTTGGTTTCCATTTGCAATGTTCTAGCACATAACAACACACCAGACTAACTTTACACCTCTTTCTAAAACAACACTTCTGATCACAAAAGATTAAACTCATATAAAAGGACTAACATTTCAAAGGAAATGGAAGACATGCAAAACAACTGAAGCATTGGTATCTTTAAAAGTGATGAAGAGAACCTTTTTGAATCTTACGACAAGTCAAACTGAATAGCTTATATGACACAGGGCTCCAACCAGCTAGTTTGAATAAACGCAGTAAACACTTCAGAAAAGGAGCCGGGTTCTCGCTACTTGTGACATTTTAAAATAGGCCTGTTACTTTTCTCCCTTGTTCATAGCTATTTGGTAACATTTTTATGGGTGAGTATTCAATTTACAGCTCCTTCCATTTTACTCTTATCAGAAGTCTAGGCCATAAGGAGAGAACGCAAGTACCACAAAAGGTATATTTTGAAACAGACCTGGTTACCAGTAAAGAAGCATGTCTACTTGGTTCTAAAAAGACTGTTGAGAAGCCCCAATACTCGTTCAGTAGAAATTTCTTCAAAAAAGTGCTCAAGAAAGAAAGCTATCAAGAAAATATTTGTTTTATAAAAAGGACTATAGTTAATGTCAAACTATACTTCTGAGCTATCTTTAAAAGGAACGTTACATAAGTAAATGCAAAATTTTATTAGTTTAAGGAAACAAGTACATGTGTAAATTTGGGGACATATGTTTATGTTTTACATACCAGTGTCACCCTTTGACTTAAGAAAAACAGACTTGAAAATGATGAGTCACAATTATCAGGCGGGTTCTGTATCTTTAAAGTATCCTAACCATGCCTCTTTCCCATTAGGTTATTCTTAGTTTCTTAGACTAGGACAAAGAACAAACTGTCCCAGCCCACAGACTGTTCCAAAACTGGGCCTGGATGCCTATGAACCCTGATCCCAGGCCTGGAAAAAGAGTGCCACTGTGTCAAAGATTACCGCGCTGACGTAACAAAGAAGGGAGATGTTATAAACTTGTGGGAAGAATGAAGAAAGTTTCTGAGAGGAAAATTTTCCTTAGGGAAATCAATAAAAACATTTACAGAACTTTCTCATCTCAAAACTATGTCTTTCGTGTCTGAAAAAAAATAAAAGCATCTTTTCAAAAAATACACAAAAATATTTTAAAATTTAGTTGCCAGTTATATTTATGCACATACACTCTCATACACATACATGCACAGGCATAGTTGTTTTTGCCACACAGAAAGAGCTAATCATTTTTCCAAAACTTCAGTTTTCCATTAGTTCTTTGGTAAGGTCACGATATGGATGAGAAGGTAATTTAAATTGGCTATACTTCAGCTGAGAAAGTAATGTATAAAAGTAGGTTTGTGCTTATTGCATTTAACCAGAATTTCTAGAACAATTAAATAGTAATAGTTTCAGTGTCTTCTTTTTAATTTTTTTTGAATCAAGAGTGACCACAACTGAAGAGACAGGGCTATGATTTACTGAGATGAGAACTTGAATCTGAAGTTCCAGTCTCAGCTATAAAGTTAACAGTTCAAAACTTGTATCTCGACTCGGGCACAGGGAGCCTGCTGAGCTCCCAGGCTAATCCCCTGCCCTTTCCAGGTCACGTGGGTCCTTGGGGGCATAGGAAGGAGGCCGAGCGGAGAACAGGAGAGCGAGGCGGGAGACGTCCTCAGGGAGGAGTGGGAGAGAAGCGGAGGGCGATTGCCCTGCACACTCGGGCACTGGGAGCCTGCTGAGCTCCCAGGCAGATCCCCCGCCCTCCAAACCCCCCTCCAGGCCACGTGGGTCCTTGGGGGCATAGGACGGAGGCCGGGGAGATCAGGAGAGGCAGGCGGGAGGGGCCCTCCCAGAACCCAGACCGGAGGAGCAGCAGAGGAGAGGAGGGCATTTGCCCCACCCACTCGAGCCCAGGAAGCCTGCTAGGCTCCCAGGTGAGGTCCTCCGCCCTCTGAGACTGGGGTGGGGTGCACGCCTAGGCCCCTTCTGTTCCTTGAGCCTAAGCCCCACCCCCCACAGCCCCCAGGGCCTTTTCCAGCCCTGTGGGTCCTGAGCATTGGCCCCACCCACCACCCAAACCTCGCCCTTGCTTAGGCCCCGCCCTCCAGAGCCAAGGTCTTTCCATCCCCCCCCTTTGTTTTCCTTTCCCTCCTCCTCCTTTTTACTACTGTGGTAGTGATGTACCTTCTGGTTGTTGATTCATCTATAGTTTTATTTTTACATTCTTTCTAACATATCTGTTAGTTTCCTAGTCTGATTTTATTTTTTACTTTGTTGTTTTTCTCTCTCTTTTTTTTTTGCCACCCCACGTGGCTTGCAAGATCTTGATTTGCGAGCCTGGGGTTGAGGGGAGCTCCTGCAGTGGGAGCTCCAAGTATGAACCACTGGACTAACAGAGAACCTCAGACCCCA